ACACACACACACACACACACACAGTTAATGCAGACTTGACACACTATCATTGAAAGGAGTTTCAGTTCTAACACATGTTTGTGAGAGAGTTTCCTGCAGCATTGTTACTGTGGAGCCACGTGTAGGAGCTTAAAATGAGTGCAGGTAGCTTACATAGGACAGATGCATGTTGGGTAACTTGTCGTATGCTGTTGTAGTTCTTCAGAGCGATCTTGTCATTATTGAACGCCAGAATGTTGACCAATTATTCGTTGTTAGCACTCGAATCGAAACAGACTTTACAGGTAACGGGTAAAAGAATGACCAAAGTCATCACACATCTAAAATGAAGCTTATTTGGCATTTTGTGTCTCTATCTCTTTCTAGATTAACTTCCGATGTAAGCCAACCTACAGAGAGGGAGGATCCCGCTGCATGCGAGATGTAAGAGTGTGTGTGTGTGTGTGTGTGTGTGTGTGTGTTTAAATATGCTCAAGACTTACTACATGTGAGAGAAGAAGAATTTTTACGTGTCCTGTTTACACTTTGGGTGACGAGGAAACAGGATTATAAATAGCATTTCTCCCTCTGACAGCAGAACATGCTGAGACATCACTGGGTTCACAGAAGAAGACAGGAGGGGAAATGTAGACAGTGTGGAAAGGTAAGCACACACACACACACACATGTACGTTGTCAACAGTTAATATTGACTTACTTCGTTGTATTTCTGTCGGTTTCTGCAGAGTTTTCAACAGAAGTTCTTCCACAGTAAAGAAATAATCGCCATCAGTTGTTCCTGGTGTAAACAGGCAGTAAGTAATTCATCCTCTGTAATTATTATTACAGGGTTATAATAATTATTATATTCTTGGGTGAAATGACCCTTTAAGAGGCGGAGTTTCAGAAAGATGTGGCTCGATTATAAACGATATCTTTGATAAAAGGATAAATAACAACGAGGAGTGTTTTCTGTTGCAGTTCCACAATAAGGTGACGTGTTTCATGCTGCACCAGATTGAGGAGCCATGTTCACTGGGGGCCCACGCTGGAGTCATAGTACCACCCTCCTGGATCATCAAAGTCAGGAAACCACAGGTGCACACACACACACACACACA